AAGCCTCTCTGTCAAGAAGAGACCATCTATAATCTGTGTGGGAAATGCACATGGGATCCTGAGTCCCTTATTGAAAATCCTGCTCCTTTCATTATGATCTTTGTCAGAATTATTAAACCTTACAAAGTAGACTCTGTACCTTTCCTCCCTTCATCATTCCCTGGTCCCTGGCTTCTGTCATGCTCACTTTAAGGAGATTGCTCATTCAAAGGTCACCGATGAAGTTTTTATTGCTACATCCAGCATCCTTTCTACTTAGATCTCTCTGATGTATGTAATCCCACTGAACACTGCCTCCTGGAAACTTATATAAAAACTTGAGTTTCCACGACACTACACACACTATCCTTCTCTTTTGCCAAAGATTTTTGTCTCCCTCCCTGGCTCTTTCCTTGCCTGCAACCCCGGTAACACAAGTGCTCCCTCAAGTCAGTACTGGGCTCCCTGACCTTTTTCCTATTCTCTTTTATAGGTCGTGGTCAAGAATGGCATAGTCTGCCTCGCCAGGGTGACTCTGTGGTTGAGCATCTACCTATGAACCAGGAATTCACAGTTTGAGTCCCTGTCAGGGCTCATGCCTTGGTGGTGGGCTGGATTCCTGGGGGGCTGCGGGGGGGAGGGGTTATGCAGGAGGCAGCCAATTTATTGTTCTCTCTCATCATTAATGTTTCTATCTCTCTAACCCTCTCCATTCCTCTCTGAAATCAATACAATATATTTTAAAGAATAAGAGATCATTTATTTTTGTTTCATCATCACTGATATGCTCATTCCTCTGAAACCTATATTTCTAATCTCAGGTAGCACTCACATATTTCAAATTATCCACTGGTCTTTGCTCTGGGTAGGTTATCCTATCATTTCAAATTTAGCATTTTAGAAACCAAACTTATCATTTATCCTCTAACTCCTCCAAATGAACTTCCTCCCAATTGTTCTATCTGCACCAGTATCACCATAGTCTTCCAAATCATACACAATCAGAAATTTGGAATAAAATTTGATTCCATATTCTTTATATCTTTATTTTTAAAAATCTAATCTTTGCCCTTTTTGTTCTTTTATCATAAGACCCTGCCACCAGTGTAAGCGTGTATGCCTTTGATTATCACCTTGCTATGCAGTTGTATGAAATCAGTTACTCTTGATGCCTCCACTGCCTCTTTCCATCTCTTACAAATAAATGCTCTTATGTTTCCTTATAGTTAACAGAATACATGACAAGTAATTCTTTATTAGCACCAAAATTCTGTTCTGCCCCATGTTCTCTGTCGAGCTATTTCTATCTAGTCTTTTCCAAAGGTTATTATGACTTTACTAGAGGCCTGGTGCACAACATTCGTGCACGGCGGGGGGGGGGCGGGGGTTCCCCTCAGCCTGGCCTGCGCCCTTTTTCGCAGTCCAGGAGCCCTTGGGGGATGTCCGACTGATGGCTTAGACCCGATCCCCTTAGGCCCGGACATCCTTAGGGCTGCCACAGAGGCAGGAGAGGCTCCCACCACCGCTGCTGCTCTCTCCAGCTGTCAGCCCGGCTTCTGGCTGAGCAGCGCTCCCCCTGTGGGAGCACACTGACTACCAGGAGGCAGCTCCTGCATTGAGCATCTGCCCCCTGGTGGTCAGTACGCATCATAGCGACCGGTTGTTCTGCCGTTCAGTCGATTTGCATATTACCCTCTTATTATATAGGATGTCGTCCATAAACACCCAAGGCCTTAGAAGGTATCCTTTAAGTATTATTTAAGTCCCTCGGGTAATCTTCAGTTAGATCTCACACCTCTGCCATTTTCCAGTTCTGACTTTATGCCATGCTCTCTTTCTGGCACTGCCGATGCCCTTTCTCCCATCCTCTCTGAAGGCAAACTTTATTGCGTGCCAACTAGTGTAATGAGGACAGTTCTACTTGAGCACACTGGTAGCTTTGCTTCTATCCAACACACTGTCATGTTTCCTCCTCTAATTCTAAATGTTTCAGGGCTGCCCTGGCAGGAACCCCCTCTCACTGAACCTTCACTGGCAGGAAGACACCCAGGAGCTTCTCAGTGACCACAGGATGGGTTCACTTGAGAACGCCACCCAGTTCTAAGACCCAGGATTCATTGTGCTGTATCCTGACATCAGAGCGTTCCTTTATGCAGCAGAAAGAAGCCTGTTTCCACTTTGAAAACTCCTGAAACTCAGCTCTGTTTCAAGGCCCAAGAAACATATTCCAGAGAAGGAACCTAAAGAACAAAATCAGTCCCCCGTCCCCTACCACTTTTCCCATTCCGCTACGAAACCAGCTTTCCAGCAGGGCCTGCCTCTTGCCAGTGTCTGAATATGCCATTCTCTTGTCCAGCTAAAAACTCTGGTGCTTGGCCCTAATAGTAGTAAGACCTCCTCCTCTCCCAGGCTGGTCCACAGCCTCATCTCCAATTAGATTCTTTTCTTCATTAATCTCAAAACCATTTTTGGTTGACAAAATGGTAATTTATTCATTTAAGATGAAAACTAGAAGCAGCTGGTGAACCCTGTATACTCTGAAGTTTATAGCACTCATCAATTAACATCCGGGAAAAGGAATTGCACAGCCCCAGGTTCCCAGTAAAGGTTACTTCCCAGCGTCTACTTCTAGCATGGCCTGCTCCTGTTACTCAATTGGATTTTACTTGTTATTTATTGCTAATAAACTGTTTTATGGAAAAAGTCCTCATCCTACTTGATCCTTTGACCCAAGAAATATATATTAGGCTCCTTTCATGAGCAAGAATAATTGTCAAATAAAATAGGTGACCTAAAAATAAGTAATACCCGATACCCAGCTTCAATCAAGAGAGGATAAGAGATAAATACACTAATATCTATAATATGAGACAGACAATGGTAATATCCATAAGAGGCCTTAAAATGATAATGATAACAATAACCATCTAGACACTTTTCCATGCACTTTATGCCTATTGTGGTATCTCATTTACCCTCACAAAAACACTATGAGGTGGATAATTTTATCTTTGTTTTGCAGAAAAGGAATCCAGGATTCAGAGAGATTTAGTAACTTTCCCAATAGTCAACCACTACTAAATGCTCCTTCAAAGTCTTTGATCTTAACCTATGGGAAATTAAAAAGAGGTGAAAACAAGGTCTAATTGAGACATCAGAAAAGTCTTCATGAAACAAATCTCTTTCAAGATTGATTTTTAAGAATGGTTAAGATTTTACAAAACAGAGATAGATAAGAAATTCAAGACAGAGTGAAGGCAATAAAAAGAAGTAATAAAATTAGGAAAGCCAGGCATGTATCAAGAATGACTGAGGCCTTTAATTAGAGGATAGTGTCTCAGAGGTGAAGGCCAGGCTGGAGCCAAACTGTGGATGGCATTGTCTTCTAAGATGAAGGATCAGTACTTAATTCAGGAGGCGATGAAGTGTATAATCTTAACGCCAATACTAACCCTTATTGTGCAACAAGCTAGATAAGGCATTAGAACCTGGTATTCATCCAGAGTCCAGTGAAATGTCAGTGGCATAATAATCTAACAAGGCTGACCTAGAACTTAATAAGGCTGAACCTTGAAAGACACTTTGACTCTGTTTTGTTTTGTTTTTTAGCAAAAAAGTGACAATCTGGCCTTAGCCGGTTTTGCTCAGTGGATAGAGCAATGGCCTGTGAACTGAAGGGTTACAGGTTCAATTCCATTCAAGGGCATATGCCCGGGTTGCAGACTCAATTCCCAGTAGGGGGCGTACAGGAGGCAGCCGATCAATGATTCTCTCTCATCATTGATATTTCTATCTCTCTCTCCCTCACCCTTCCGCTCTGTAAAAATCAGTAAAATATATATTTTTTATCTCTCTCATCATTGATATTTCTATCTCTCTCTTCCTCACCCTTCCGCTCTGTAAAAATCAGTAAAATGTATTTTTTTTAAATGACAATCTGGTTTTTTGGCATGGCAGTGATCTTTTGTAAGTAAGTCATAATTGTCTGGTATGCAATAAAATCGGAAAATAACACAGTCAGATTCCATAGACTCAAGAAGGTAGGTGGATTCCTTTGGGTATGAGGAGGCCTCTGTCCCAAAGAAAAGTCATCATTCTCGTGCTTATTCAAATAATTCATGCAATCATTTCTTATGAAGCCAACTTCCAAAACAACAAGCCAATTCCTCCATTTCTGGGTCCTTATATCTACTTTTGATTAATATAAAAGGAAAGGAAACGAAATGAAAGAACAGGACAGAAAGCCTAGCAAAAGATACTGTCATTGTTTTTTTAACAACACAATTTCTTTACACACAAAATATAATTACAAAGACTTAACTACCTTGCATATTTTAATTTTTAAAACAGATTCTGGTTCCAGGAATAGATTTTTGTTACAAAGATTTAGACATTTGCAAGTACCCATTTTTTTTTTCATAATTTCTTTCCTTTGAAAATGGTGTTTCCTTTACACGCTCAACTTGTGCTTTTCTCCTCTATCTTATTTTTCTTTTCCCCTCTAGTAGGAATATTGGCTTCGTTACTGAAATTGTGACGCGTAATCACATTTCAGCATTCTTACTCTCCCACAGGGTTTGTATCCTTCTGGAGTGTATAAATCATTTTGAAAGCTCCTTCCCATGCTATATCATGCTTTTCAGATTATCTACTGGTGTGTGCCTTACACACAAACACCCTTAGGGTTCAGCCACAGAGAGGGCCTAGATTTGGTTGGTAGGACTGCTGCTACTATGCTCAGCTGTAGTCACTTAGGGCTGGGCAGAGACGCAAAAAAGCATCCAGTAGGAAAAAGGAAGTGGCATCTGGTGCTCTAATTGTCCATCGACACACGTTCTAACTGCTGGAAACTCATGCCAACCAACCTCCACTGGTGGAACTGACCTACCCATTCCACACACTTCTTTGGCTTCATGGTGCCTCTGGGTCCTCCTCCTTCGCAAGGTGAACACTGACATCCGTTGCTACCAGATTTCTTCTGTGTAAGAATGTAGGAAGACCATGCAGGACCACAATGTGATCTACTCCCACACCCCATACTGTCCCATCTCTTTCACTGGGGCTTCTTTCACATCCAGGGACAGGAACAGCCCTGTATCTGTCATTTGAGTCACACATTTCTCTATAGTAACGATTTTGGATTTCTTCTGCACTTCAAAGAGACAGGTTAAAAATAAGGTAAGATGGTCAATTGCCCTTAATCTACAAGGGATGCTAAAACTTCCCTGGAGCTGTAACAAGATGGAGTTAAATGAGTAGAGCACCTGCCTTGGAGAGTAATGGGCTTGGGAAGAATATTTGGAAAAATCAAGGTGAATGGATGACACCTGTACTAGTAAGTGTAGCTAGCCACAGAGTGTGCTGCTTGGAAGGTGAATCCCAATGACTGCAGGGCTGTTTGTTAGTTTGTGCTAAATTAGGGAAGGTCTAGGTTTCCCCTACGGCTGAGTATTTCATGTCAGGAGAAATGATAGCTCCCCCAGTAGGGATGCTTGACACTTCCCTCACACATTAGACACCTTTCCTTTAAATAAATACTATCATGGAAAGAACATTGCTTTGAACATTGGCATTGTTCTTGCTCCCACATGTCTTGATCTGGCCTTCTATTGGCATTTTTTTTTTGCCAAGTTTAAAAATATTTTGTCTTAGGGTAGTTTTTCATTGTCTGTTTAATCCAATTCAAATGTGCACCACTATTTCATGTCAGGAGAAATGATAGCTCCCCCAGTAGGGATGCTTGACACTTCCCTCACACATTAGACACCTTTCCTTTAAATAAATACTATCATGGAAAGAACATTGCTTTGAACACTGGCATTGTTCTTGCTCCCACATGTTTCGATCTGGCCTTCTATTTGCATTTTTTTGCCAAGTTTAAAAATATTTTATCTTAGGGTAGTCTTTCATTGTCTGTTTAATCCAATTCAAATGTGCAGCAGAGGCAATAAAGTAAGAATAGTTAATAGTGAGGAAGAAAATTATATCAGAACCTTTGGAAAAGGTGAACTGTGTATATTTTTAAAAATTGATAAATTTTTATCTTGCAATTTTATCTTTATTTTATTTATACTAAAGTCTTTGCTTCTATCTAACATGGTCTTCGGAGTGCTGGCCACGGTCATAGACTGTGCACACCTCTCACCTCTCCAATCTGACTTTCCTGGCCTGCTTCTCTCTGGCTGCTGGTTCTCTCTACGGAGCCAGCTTGTCTCTATTCACTATGAAGAAAAATGAGTTGGTCAAGAAGAGCTGTGCCTGTTTGGAGTGAAAACCGGAAGCGCATTCTTCATTTCTACACACCATGGCACCTCCTGATTAATGCCATAAAGGAAAAATAGAACAAAATATTGGCGGTTCCCCCTCGCCTAAAAACAAAACATAAAGAGTAACAAGCAGGTCCTTATGCCAGGGCCCCTTGAGTCAGCACTACTTTCTCCCCTGGATTTTCTGGAAGCCACCCTCTCAGCTGCTTCAAGACCCCTCTCCCTCTCAGTGTTAATTTAGTCATTGCACTAGTTAATCCCTAAGCAACACACAACCAGAAGCAGTGGAGTTTATCACTAAAGGACATGGAGCTACCATAAAAAATCATTCTTACCCATCCAGGTATAATCTTCAAAACTAATATAAAAGTGTGATGTGCCATATAAAATTAAGAATCAGGACACTTAAAATAATGTCCTAAGTGAAAAAAGCCAGACAGAAAAAGACAAATACTATATGATCTCACTTATTTGTGCAATTTAAAAACAAACAAAAAACCTCATAGAAACAGAGAGAAAATTTGTGGTTGCCAGAGAGAGGTGGAGTTGGAGGTTGGGGGGAATTGGATGAAGGTGGACAAAAGATACAAAAATCCAGTTATAAGGTAAATAAGTTCTGGGATGACTATACATTACCATGTGCTCTGGAAAATGAGAGTGGAGGGAAAGAGGCAGGAAGTGACCCTGAGGGATAGGTAAGTGGTATAGGTCACGTGGATCTAGCTTTTTAGAAACTCCTCTCTGAAGGGAACAGGAATTCCAAATGGTAAAGCAATATGGTGTAAGAAAAAGGCAATTTCCATTTATTGAGGGTTTATTATATAGTAGGAACTATGCTAAGTGCTAGTCTTCTACTTTATTTCATTTAATAACAGTACTTCAACTTTATAGTGCTTTGCACTTCACGATATATCTTTTTTGATCCTTACAATAATCTTATGAACTATACATTTTTATGCCCATGTTTTAAGTTAATTATAAAAGTGTGAACTAATGTACTTTGAGTCACACAGTTAGTCATTGATAGAGCTAGAATTGCTACCAAGATGCACTAGCTAACTTTAAACTGTGTGTTTTTCACTATATCGTCACCACTTCTCATCTTTACTTTTTCCGAAAAACAGACATTTTCCTTTCTGAAAAGTCTTATATTCTTTGAGTCACTCTGGCCTCATCTTGGGCATCACTTCCTCCAAAAAGTCTTCTCTAAATAGCTTATGCGTGTTCCTCCCATGGACGCCCACACCACGCTAAGCTTGTCTCCACACTGGCAATGTCCGTCTCCTAGTCTGCCTCCCTCCCAAACAGCAAATCCCTTGACACAATAACTGCTTCTGTATGCCCAGTGCCTCGTACAGTTATTGGCACAAGATAAATCTCAAGACCTATTTATTAAATATAACATTGAAGTGTATGAGTACATTTGAAACTGCTCCTTGATGGCTAAGTGTATTGGCAATGAGTGTCCATTGCTCTCTCGTGCTATGAAGCACCCTGGTTCTCAGGATGGCAGGTCTGGCCTCTGTTCCATGGAGCTTACATATTCTTCTACTTCAGAACTGCTGTGTTTCCCTTTTGAGATCTTTCTGTCTTCTCCCTTGTTTTCAAGATGTGGGCTGTCACATTTCTGAGCTGTTGGTGTGCTGGGCTATAGCAGCAACCCCTCTTTCTTATATACTGCTTGCAAATCACAGCTAAGTAGAAAAAGCAGATGAGCAGTAAATAAAATTACCTATAAAGGAACATCCTTGAGAGACAGCACTGCACAGAGATGGAGAACAAAGATCTGAAAACAGATGACCTGGGTTCTGATTTTACCTCTGACACTCACTAAATGTTCTCACCTCTTCATGCACCTATTGCCAGGTTTGTAAAATGGGCAGTGATAGTACGTAGGTCAATAAGTATCATCAGACCCATTCAATCTGAACAATAAAGATTTAATTAAAAAAATAAATATCATCAGACCCATTTTTATAGCTGGAGTTTAACAAAATTAAGTAACATGTAATCAACTTAGCAAAAGTATATTACATGCTACAAACTGGGGCTTGAGTAATAATTAAGGCATCATGACTCAGGGAAGCTCCCAAATTAAGCAAGTAGTTACTAAAAAGGGCAATATATCTTATGGTGGGAGAAATATGAGATGTTATGAGAACACATATTGGTGCATTATAACCAAATATAGGGGTCACAGGAGAGCTTCCAGGGGAAGTAGCATTTAAACATAGATTCTAAAGGCTCATAAGAACCAGCTGGATAAAAGGTTGGGAAGGGTCTAAAAAGGGAAGATCAAAAGTGTATTCCAGTCCAAGGAACCAGCACTTGAAAAGTTACGTAAGAGAAAATTTGAAAAAGTTTAAAAACTTTAGTAATTCTGGGGTGTAGAATTAATGAGACATTGACAGGAGAGCAAGGCTGAAAGTCGGTGGTGATCACATGATGAAGTACTTTGTACCCCATACTGAAGAAAGTGTCCTAATGGCGGTGAAGGTATGTATGTCTTTGAGTAAAGCAATGGTTGACTTATTTGTAATTTTGAAAGTTCACTTGCTAGCAGAGGGAGAAAATGGGTTATAGATGGTCAAGACTGGCAGGAAGACTGATCTGAAAGCAATTATGCGCTACAAAATTCAAGGGCTGGTAGAAGTGCTGGCGTGGAAACAGTGCTGATGGAGAGAAATAGACAGATTTGTGGGAAAAAGACTGACATTTCTTGGTTATGGGTCAAGTAGAGGCCTACTGGAGTCAGAGAGGACCCTGAGATCTCTGGCTTAGGCAACTGGGTGAACTGTGGTGCCCTAAACAAATACAGGAAATCTTGGAAGAGGAGAAAGTTAGCGTGTGAAGGACACAGGGAGTTTGATTTTGGACATTTAAGGTTGCAGTGTCTGTGAGGTATTCAAGTGGAGCTATCCAGGAAGCAGCTGGATCCATAGATTTGGAACTCCAGAGAATGTTCTGAGATATAGGAATGAATGAGTTCACCCAAGGAGAATGTGTGGAGGGAGAGAAGGCATCCACCTGAGTGGAGTGCCAAGGAGCAGCAGGGAAGAGACAGTGAATGGTGTGGGGATACGAGAGTGGTACTGACAATGTTTTTTTGGCTAATCCTCACCCGAGGGTATTTTTCCATTGATTTTGAGAGAGAGAGAAACATTGATGTGAGAGAGACACATTGATTGGTTGCCTCCCGCATGCACCCTGCTTAGGGATGGAACCTGAAATCAAGGTACATGCCCTTGACCAGGAATCAAACCCGAGACCATTCAGTGTGTGAGCCAATGCTCTAACCACTGAGTAACACTGGCCAGGGTGATATTGGCAATTAAATGAACTATTGGGAAGGCACAAAATAGGAGAAAAGGAACTCTCTGCTCCAGGTGTCAAGTTCTTCACTGATTGAAAAGCTCTAATGTCCTTCGGTGGATGGAAGAAGGAACAGAGGGCAGTCAAGATCCTCATATTTAACCAAAGTCAAACCTGGGATCCAGCAGCTGTCATGCAGAAAAATAAAATCTTCCCTTCTTCCTCTGACCCTCTGTCTGCTTCCTTCATGCCATAGAGCTACACAGGTATCAGGTCAGGCTAGAAGGATGTGCCTTCAAGGAACATGCATAAAAGAATGTTCAGTGCGTTCTTGCTCTCCTAGAATTAGAGCCCTCTCTGAAAAGAAGACACATTTTAAAAATGGTCACTAACATTTGGAGCTTGCTATCTCTTCTCAGGGTTTGTCAAGGGACCCGTGGTCAGCCTTACTACCCCCAATCAAATGCACAGCCTTGTCTTTCTCTGCCCCTTCCTGGTGCAATAAGGAGCCACATCGGGGGCCAGTGGAAGCTGCCTGGAACACACTGCTGTGACCAGAGGAGATGCCCACCCA